CTTGTTGTACCATACAACCAGTCACACACGTAGCATTGTCCTTCATAATGTCCATCCATTCCAGGTCGGAAGAAACTAATACAGTTCTTTGAGTAAGCTGGGTTAGCTGTACTACCGATAGTAACATTAGCTTAGCTAACTAATGTTAACAAACTAGATATACTACAGGTCTATGCACAATAACACCATACAACGTAATACCGAAGAATGTCCCGTTGTGTATGGCGACGATGTTGGACATATATCTTGGTGCAGATTATCGAGTTGATAGTCTAAATACAGTCCTTATGCTTGGCACATTTCGCATCTCCATTACTTTTTCTCTTCCCGTTTTTCTTCACCTCGTTACCTCTTTCTACCGCCTCCTTTCTTCTTCTCTCCTTTTTCTGGGTGTCACTCCCTCTACCAATAGGTGACCCCCAAAGATATTGTTTAATATCTCAAATACCGTAACAGCACAAACGAAACTTTTTGCAGCACAAACCAGCACAAACGAAGCACAAACGGATGACACCATTTTGGCTTTATTTTGCGTTGGATGGGGGGACAACTTCACGCAGATGGTGAATCACAGCAATATTTTACACACAACACAACACTTTGAACCTTCAAAATAAAATGAAATAAATCACCATACAGTAAATCTTTTAACCCTATTCATCATATGAAACCAACTTATTCACAGTAACTATCATTCAAAAGCAAATACATTCGTTCCACTTCATGATTGTGTCCCACTTGTTGTTGATTCTTCACAAAAAATTACAGTTTTATATCTTTATGTTTGAAGCCTGAAATGTGGCAAAAGGTCGCAAAGTTCAAGGGGGCCGAATACTTTCGCAAGGCACTGTATATGGTATGCATCGCTGCATTTAAAACTGGGTAGTTTTGCAGACATCTAAACTTTAGAATTTTTCAATCTTACATGTCACTTGCTAAGTTTTCTTAACACCAGTAACACTGAAAGCAATTGTCAAAGTCCTCTAATCTTGATTTACCTATTTTAATTCACCCACTCCATTGATAGAAGCTTGATAAATAATTTAGCACACGAAATTAGTCACAACTGGCTTTATTTGCACAACATAAATTAAAAATTAACTACAACAATTTCCTTTTTTGAGACATGATGGAGTTGTGGACATTATTCTTTAAATACACTTTACATTGGCAAAATTAAAAACCGCATGCTTCCATCTCTGTAATGCTGTGGTTTGGGTTAACCAGGAAAGTAAGATGGGACAGTTATGAAAAATCTGCTAAAATCTGTTGATATAACATGCATTGTTTTGGTGCTTTGTGACAGAAGGCCCAGTTCACCAAATCTGCTTGGCAACAGGCTCCGGTCCTCACACGTGTAGAAGAAAAAGATTTTTTTTATTTCGAGTTTTTCTGAATTCTGAAGTGGCATTTTGATTCTCTATTGCCACCTCATGATAGATTTGTGTTTAGCACCATTGTAGCTATAGTATAAGTGGTGGCCCTCACAAAGAAGTCACAGAACGTGGGCCACACAAAGGCATAAAGACATGTATGTGTGTGTGTGTGTGTGTGTGTGTGTCGTGCAGGTCGTACAGCAGCACTAACCTTCTGGAGGATCTGAAGGTTCTGTATCAAATCGCTGGTGGGCAGGGAAAGGGAGTCACATTCCTCTTCACTGACAACGAGATTAAAGATGAAGCCTTCCTGGGTACCAACTGTTTGACTGAGCTGCTTTCATATTTGTAGGAACATAATGTCAACAACGCTAAAGGACAACATAAGCATTCAAATGTAAAGGGTTTATCTTCAGAGGAGCAGACATGTGACCACAGAAATCTGTCAGACTTGTGTGTAACCCACTGATGGAGAGTAAAAGTCATGACCTCCTGCCCTGTCTGTGCTTGTTCCACATTTGTTGACCCTTCCTTCATCCTTTGACCATGACTCTCTTCTCTCCTCCACAGAATACATGAGCAACGTCCTGGCGAGCTGGGAGGTTTCCAACCTTTTTGCCCATGACGAGCTGGATGACATCGCTCAGGATCTGATTCCCGTCATGAAGCGACAGCACCCTCGCCGACTTCCACGTTGTCCTCTGCTTCTCGCCTGTCGGGGAAAAGTTTCGCACTCGTTCCCTGAAGGTGAAGTGAAGTCGTTTTAGATCAGTACGGAGCCACACATATGTACAGCGTACAGTTAATGTTCGGACATGATTTGTCAGTGTGTGCTTTAGGAGTGTTTGGTTGTCACGCTGAAGAAAGTGAAGCACAGGCGTTGAATGAATTCTTCTTAGATTCCACAAGTCACAGCCAGGCGCCCAGTCGAGCTGTGATCACTCCCTCTGTTCATACTGACCATTAAAAGCTGTGGCTCAGGAGGTAGAGCAGGTCACGCCCCTAACCGTAGGATCGGTGGATCGATCCCCAGCTTCTCCAGTCCACATGCCGAAGCGTCTATAGGCAAGACACTGAATCCCAATTTGCTCCCGGTGATGTCACCATCTGTGTGTGTGCGTGAATGATTTATGGCGGCTTCACCTCCATCAGTGTGTTAATGGGTAAATACTGTAAAGCACTTGAGGTCAACTTACTAACTTTGTTAGTTTTGTCAGTGACCTTTGACCTTCAGCCTCCCCAGTGACCCCTGACCTTTGACCTGACCAGTTCCCAGGTCTGATATCGAGCTGTACAGTGGATTGGTTCCAGTGCTGGCCGCGTGACGCCCTGGTTGCTGTGTCGCATCACTTCCTGTCTTAGTACCAGGACCTCTGCTGCTCAGAGGATGTGAAGCAGAGTGTGGTGGTTACCATGGGAACCTTCCAGGTAGCACTCACATTCTGATCAAGCGCATGTTATCACTATGTGCAGCAGACTGATCACATAACATCTCTCCCTCAGGGACCTGGTGGCAGAGAAGTGTGCAGAGTACTTCGAGCGTTCCCGCCGTCAAACATTTGTGACGCTGTCACTGTAACAGTAACACAGAAGTTTATTACTGGAGCAGGAAGCAGGCTGCTGGAAACCCTCAAGTCAACTCACCAAACAACTGAAACTGGATCTTTGTGTTCAGAGCATTTTAGTCAGAGAAACACACAGGATTAACAGAACAGAGTGGAGATGCTCAGAAAGAAAGAAGACTAACGGCTCAGTTCAGTAGATGAATATTAAAAATCTCTGCCTTCGGTTTCTTCGTATCCATACCCAGGTGAGGTCCAGTATGGCGGGCGGGTGACTGACGACCTGGACAAACGTCTCCTTAACACCTTCACTCGTGTGTGGTTCAGTGAGAACACCTTCAGCGACAAGTTCTGCTTCTATAAAGGCTACAACATCCCCGCCAAGACTAAGACTGTCCAGGATGTCCTGCAGCACGTTGAGGCCTTGCCGCCGGTCGACTCGCCAGAGGTCAGAGCGTGCTCACAGCACCAGTGTGATACATCACCGCACAGGGTATAAGAACACAGAGGAAGTCACAGGTGAACCTGTCTGCACTGAGGTGTTGGGGCTCCACCCCAATGCTGACATCACCTACCAGACCAACCTGGCCAATGAGACGCTCAGCACCATTATCAGCATCCAACCAAAGGATGGCAGGGCCAGGGGAGGGGAGACCAGGGAGGCCAGCGTACAGGGACAAGCCAACGAGATGCTGGAGAAGCTCCCGCCTAACTACGTGCCACATGAGGTGAGTGTGTGCTGAACAGGTGTACGGCTAGCGCTTCACCAGTTCTCTGCTTTCTGGGGGGAGAGTTAGTGGAAGCAGCCGTCCTGCTCTCTGCACCGGGAGCTGGGGGGAGGTTACAGCCCCCAGCCTGGAAACAGTTGGCCTCTCTGTACACACACAACCTGACTTCACTGTAAATACAAAGTAATAAACAAAACATGTCATAGGTTTCTCTGCAGAAATCCTAAGTAACTCTGTGTTTGGAAAGTCAAAGGTCAGCTGCAGAAGATGGGGCCTCTTCAGCCAATTAACATCTTCCTGCGACAGGAAGTGGACCGCATGCAGCGAGTCATCAGCAGCGTACGGAGCACGCTCACTGACCTCAAACTGGACATCGATGGTCTGTCACAGTGCATGCACAACCACTCACACACGCAGGTTTCCGATCAGCGTGACCCACAGCGTGTTTCTCGCTGCAGGTACCATCATCATGTCCGAGGACCTGCGCGATGCCCTCAACTGCATGTTTGACGCACACATCCCTCGCCTGTGGCTGCGGCTCAGCTGGCCATCAGCCACGCTGGGCTTCTGGTTCACCGAGCTGCTGGAGAGGAATCAGCAGCTCAGTGGCTGGATCGGCGCTGGGCAGCAGCACCAGTTCTGGCTCACTGGTTTCTTAAACCCACAGGTTGGCTCAGACGTCGCTATCACATGAATGAGGGAAACCAAGTTTAGAAATGTTTGTCATACCCACACATCTGGTCGTTTTTTTATGACTCTGTGTGTGTGTGTGTGTGTGTGTGTGTGTGTGTGTGTTGTTGAAGGCTTTTCTCATCGCCATGCGTCAGGAGACTACACGCGGCAATCTGTCCAGGGGCTGGGCCTTGGATACTGTTGTCCTTAGCAATGACGTGACCAAGATGATGAGGGAGGATGTGTCAGCCCCACCCCCTGAGGATGTGGGCGGGGTTTACATCTACGGCCTCTTTCTGGAAGGGGCGGGATGGGACCGACGTGGGGCCAAGCTCACTGAGGCTCCGCCCAAGGTTAGTGTGGGCGTGGCTTTTAAACAATATAAAAACAATACAAAAAATTTTTTTAACATTAAAAAGATTTTACTAATATTTAATATTAGAAATAAATCGACCATAAAACTAATTTCTATTGTATAGCAAAGTAATAAAATTCGAAAACTATGAAATAAAATCATAAAAAATATCGATTTTAAAGCAATGAGTAAAAAACTAAATGTGACAAAATGTAAAAAGTACAAGAGGCTTTCTCGGTGGCGTCTACCCTCAGGTCCTCTTCACGCCTCTCCCCGTGGTCCACGTCTACGCCGTCAGCTCAGCCAACATGGCCGACACTAACCGGCGCCGCAGCAGACCGACCTGAACTTCATCTTCTCTCTGCGGCTGAGGAGCGTGCAGGCGGCGGAGCACTGGACTCTGAGAAGCACCGTGCTGCTCTGTGACTGCAAGTGAACCTGAGTAGGAAGAATCAGAGCAGCTGGGGTCCAGCAGCGTTTACAGGCTCAGATAGTAACTTTTAAGGTAAAAGACAAGTCCCATCCCTGCTATAGGCTTTAGATGGAGCCTCTTCTTTCCTGTGGTTTCACTTTAAACAATCAACTAGTAGAGACTTAATGGAGTCTGTGGCCCTGAAAATCAAACACGGCTGATGATAGATGAGAGAATAACTTCATAACGTCTAAGAACAAAAAACATTGTCTAATTAAATGTTTTTGGAATTTTTCTCTGAAGTGAAAGTTTTTGTGAGGTTCACCTCGTGTGAATAATGAACTCAAAATGATTAGAGGTTCGTTAGAAGTCAGAGCAGCTCGAACCCACACCTCCGGGCTCATTAACGGACCAGGACAGTACAGTGATTTGTGTGTCATTAACGTTAGTTGTTGGCTCATAACTGTCACTTCAATGAAGCTCTGACTTTATCTGGACAAGTTTATAAATTCATGTGACTCCAAAGGGTTCGTGTATAGAACTAGAAATATTTTAAGACAAAGAGCAGACTCTGTTTTCAAGGTTTCTTTTATTACAGTTTTATATAGCATCAGTGTGAATTCCGACAGATTTACAGGTATAAGTCAATACAAATCTTAGACCAAACTTAGCCTTGATATCAGATCCCCTCTCTGTTTATATCAAGTCTGTTCCTTCAGTTGTATTTTTTAAACAAGTTGCTGTAGTAGATTCTCTGACACTGAAATAAAGACGTACTGGTTTTCCTCTCCCTGTACTTCATAACGAGTGGTAATACTACGTTTTGTCCACATCACAAACACAAACCTACCTTAAGCTAATATCACTGCAGTCGCTAACAGAGGCTAAAAACACCAAGAATACTGTAAAATCTGTCACAGTGCAGTTTCAGCAAACCTCAGAAGAAAACGGCTTCATTTTCAGCTCGACTGCACCTTATCGATGTTACACAGTGAGCCACAGCTAAACAGAACATGCAAAACCAGTTTTTGTGCTGCATTTACAACTAAAATCTAAAGATATTGGGGCTTGGTGAAATGATTCTGGAGCTCGGTCTGACCCCTGCCTGGACACTGAGGCCCTGTCCACAAATAGCTGTACTTAGGGCATTCTCAGTTTCTCTTTAGTTTATTTCCTTAAAAACAAAACAATCAGTTATTGTCTGTAAGGCAGATGTTTCCCACTGTGGGGTCTTGGCCACATGCACATCCCCTGGGTATCGCTGACACAGTGCACCATGCACATCCCCTGGGTATCGCTGATACAGGGCACCATGCACCATCTGAAGGTGAACTCCTCCATTCTGTAGGCGTTACTAGTTGATCAGTGGATAACGGCTGAGAGACGTGTGCTTCACCTCTCGCCATACATCATGTTAATGGTCTGGGCTCTGTGTCAATACGTACACAGGGAACAAACAGCCACCCCCTACACTGAGTGTAAAGCTCTTTATTGCCATGTTACAGAACCGAACATTTCGTCATCCAGCATCTCACTCATCAACATGCAGAAACAGGTGAACTGCGGCAGTGTGGCGATGTGAGAAGCTCAGTTCATTTCTTTTCCAAGGTCACAGTTTGTTCAAAACTAAAAAGACTATATACCTGCTGATGTTACAATAAACACAGAACTGCACATGTGATGTCACTGATTTCAGGAGCTTGTGTGGTTGTTGTGTCTTGATGCTCAGTCGCGCTACAGCCTGGTCTTTGCTCACTTCCTTCAGCAACGTTCAGACAAATGTTCATCTTGGCTTTTTGCACACTTGCAGCTCTGACCCTAAAACGTCTCCTTCCCTTGCTGTGTGGTCTCAGAAGTCCAAAGCAAATGACCCGGATCTTGGCAATGTCTCCCGGTTTACGATAGCTGCTTCATGTCATACATCGGCACCTCAGACTCCTCCGCCTTGCCCTCGTCAGCAGCTGCTTTGGCGGTGTCCGGGCATCCCTTGTGGCCTTTGGGTGGAGGGATGGGCACAGCTCCCTCGGCCCCTTCCTGGCCCTCAGCTACAGTCCTCTCTTTCTTCAGGTTGAGCTTGGCTGGGACGCTCTTGGTGATGGTCTCCTTCAGCCTTTCTCCAGACTGCTTCAGCCTTTCTCCGGACTGGCGGATCTTCTCACGCCTCTCGGCCGTCACAATGCGCTCACTGAACTTGTTGACCTTGGTGCCCAGGTTCTCGCGGGTCTTGTTCATGTTTTCCTTGGAGAAAGTGGCTTTGAAGCTCTCCATGCGTGTCAGGCCCGTCTTTTTCACGTGGCTGGCAGTCGATGAATCGGCCTCCTCCACCACCATGTATTCCTCATCCGACTCTGGAGGAAGCTCAAACTTGTCCGGTTCCACTTCAGCTCTGGCACTGCTGCTACTGCCGGTTCCTGCTGGCTCAGTGCCTGGTGTGATGGCCCTCACCTCCTGGTCACCCTGAGGACAGAACAGAGTGCTACACTGGGAGAACATCTATGATGTTTCAATTACTGACACACCGACTGCTGTCATGCATTAGATATAGAAACTATAGGTTTTGTATTGAGTTGGACAAAGTTCAGCTGTTTGAATCAGTCCTGTGAAAGTGTGCCACACAGAACTGTTAGCATGCAGGCCTTGATCCTGCCTCTGTAAATAAACTTCAGCACCTGTTTCTGCAGCTCAGCTGCAGGAAGCTAAACATGTCAGCGAGCAGCAGAGTATGGAGCAAAGCTGGATCACTTCCAGTTTCAGACCCCGCCATGATCTCTGACTCTCAGATCATGTTACACTGAACATGAACAGCAGCAGAACTGTAGAGCAGAGGCTGTGAACTGACTGTCGCTCCTGCAGATGTCATTCAGTCAGGGAGCATTAACCCTGATTCATGATCAGACAGCCCCACTTGTCCCTACAGCCTGTTGCACAATGTCACTTCATGTCGGAGTACAACAAGTAAAGATTGTGTACTTCAGTAACCGTAGTTTAGTTTAAATCCAAAGTGCACAGAAACCAACAGCGACATCTTTTTGAAAAGTTCATGTTTCTGCACAGAAGAAACTGATATTAACGTCTTCAGCTTGTTAAAGCTTTTGGAGGCATCATGCACCAAAATGCTTAATAAAGGAACAGGTTATGATGTGGACATTACCCAACATTGGCTCCACAGTGGTGATGACCAACATGTACTCATACTGTATGTCAAAGGTCTTCATGGGTCCAGCTGTTCCTGTGACCGAGACCTAATATCTAAACCCTGAGTTGGGCAAGGGGGTTCTTGGATGGGTTCTTTCTGGATCAAACCTGACTGTCCCTGAGTCCCACTCAGACCTGCCCTCTGATGAGTTTGGGGAGGTTTACCGCAAAATCCATTTCAGCTCAGGCTCAGTATTCCAGACCCCACTGCCTGTGCTCATATGTCGTGATGAGGCAGTACCAGCTTGTGCCTTCTGTGAGTCCTGACCAGAAATAGTACCAGAACATTTTACAGTAAATTTAGTTATGGAGCTGTGTAACTGGCTGGTTTCTCTATCAACCAACATCCAGCCCAAACACGAGGACAATTATATTAGTAGTCAGCTCCCAGAGGTAACTGGTCAGATGCCAAAAGGTCCATTTCCACAGCTCAGAAAGAATCCGCACATCCAAAGAGTCCAGAGAGACTCTTACCTGATAAATGACCACCCTGAACTTGTTCTTGGCCAGGAGGTCTCCCTGCGTGGCCTCCACTTTCTTCACCCTGATGTTCTGGTTCTCCACACGGACCCTGACATCCTTGATGTGGCGGCCCTTGCGGGTCTTTTCCAGCAGCCGGTCGACGGTGGAGCTGGTGGCCGCATGGTCGCTGGTCAGCTTGACGACGTTGGCCTGGATGGTCTTCACGGTGTTCTCCAGCTCCTGCTGACGCTCCTCCATACGCTGCTGCGTGGCTTGAACATTGTCCATGAGGCCTGCCACACGCTCCAGCAACGCCATGATGTTCCCCGTGTCATCACCACAACCGGTCGGCAGGCCCGGCTTGTCTGTCATAGTTGCTCTTTGGTTTGCCTGTTAGTCGTCTGGTTTGTTGGCTGACTGTTGGGACGCAGCAATCCAAATGTCAAAGAGAAGTAGGGATGAGGGTGGGTGAAGAAGACAGGCTGAGGCAGGATCAGCTGAACCTTGCAGTGAAATCTTATTCTTTGGAAAAAAATAGTGATGGTCAAAAGCATGGAAATGAGAAGGATGAGTGAGGACTGAGGTGTTCGAGGATCCAAACAAAGGAAGTGAGTAGAAGAAATGAAGAATAGAAATCCCTTCTGGAAGAAGGAGAGAATGGAGGGGGACAGAATGACCGAATCAACCCTCTGCAACTGGAGGTTGACCCTGAAACTGGTCAGATCAACCGATAGACTCCACCCTGCTGGAAGACAGACGGGGGTGGAGGGGGGGAATTGTGAGGCTAAAAAGAGAGCGGAGGTAAATACAGAGGGAGAGCTGAGAGGTAGAAACACCTGTTTTACTGGTGTTTAGTCAAAGAACAATAAAGGGGTTGTTTCTGCAGTAAGTCACCAGGCAGCGCAGATACAATAATGCAAGCTTCTCTGAGTCAGACCTGGCATTAAGAAGACAGGTTTGACTCCTGAAGGCTTTGAGAAACACTGATCTACCCACAAACGTCCCACCAGTCAGAGAATTTTAAAATGGAAACATGGATCCCAGACGCCCTCACTGTTCTCTGCTGCTAAAAATACAGAGGGTAAAGTGACTCCCTCGGCCTCTTTGGGAGAGCAGTGGAAACCCCCTCCCATATACTGCTCCATCATCCGTCTATCAGCTATCACCTCTTCACTTGTTCTGTCTTAATCCCCCCTCCAGGTTTGGACTGTTGGCCTCCAGATGAACAGCTCAGTTTCCAGAATACATTCCTAAGCTAAGACCTGCCGTCGCTACCGTCTTTGCTTTTCTGGGGCCAGGCAGTCCAAGTCTGGGCCAGTAGACTGGACTTCTGTACTCTTGGCGACCTACCACAGCACCATCAAGGCTCAGCACCACAGGGCACCTGCTTCTGCTGCTTCACTAACACGGGCAGTATAAAACCCCACAGGGGGAAGCATGTGTGACAGTGTGAGTAGAATAAGGTGATGTTGGAAAGGAGCGATGGCATCCACTGAAGGGAGAAGGGGGCTGCTCACCTAAATACGCTCCACCAGCTGCTGCCTATAATTATCCTGCCGTCACTGCTATATTTGACTCCGCCTCCCATAGATGCTTCAGCAGCCAGCAGGAAACCTTATATACTCTTGTACATTACAGTCAGTACTTCTGACTACTGAGAATAAGTATGCAGCTCTAAGTCCAGTACCTGTAATCACAAGCAGTTTCCAGCTCACTCACTGTGCATAAACATCAAGGTGTGCAACTAGGACGCCTTAAAGCTGCATCGCCTCCAGTAAGGGAAGAAACAAAGTGACAACACAGAGGCTTGAACATCATAATTTAATTCTAGTTAGACTACAGCACCGAGCACAGGCTACTAGTTCATGCAGTACGTGACATCTACAGTAAAATCAGGCTGGATTCCCACCGGCGTCACATGACCAAGAGAAATGGCTTCACCACTGCTTCAGTTACAAAAATGTGTTTGTCTCAGAAAGTTCAGCAAAAAGATCTCAGAGAAGTGACCCTTTGAGGAACCTCAGCCTAGCTCGATTACCTACTTCTACCAGAATAAACTGATGGACACGTCGTACCACTGTTACGATTTATATTAAAAAAAAATTTTTCCAAAAAAACTCATTTAAATTATCATCAGCTTGTCAAAACACATCAAACATTGGAGTCCATTTCTGGAACGGCATCATCAGACAACTAAGGGATAACAGAATAGCAGCCTGTACATGTCAGCTTGTGTCCTACTGTAGTAGAAAAACTGCATTTTGGTTTTTTCATAACAAATCTAAAAAATTTAAATAATGTTTGGACCCTGTGAGGTGCAGCAAAACAGAAAACAACCATTAGACATGATTAAATGCCCAAAAGGGCTGCAGTGGTCCCTGATGACCTGGTGGTCCTGACGCCCCACCCCCACCACCACAGGGCTTCTTGGGGAAGGCGCATCACAACCACAGAGGCTGAATAATTCATGATTAAATACCACTGAATCTGTAGCGCTGTCCTGCTGTATCGGACATTGACATCCATCTGGCAGAATTTGTGAGTTGAATTTGCCTCTATTTTCAAACTATTTAAAAAAAGTTTTCATAATTAACTTTTTAGGAACAAAAATAATGTGTCCAGTAAAAAATTAAAGTTGTAATAATGTAACAAAAAAAAAATCCATCTTTTGTTTTTTTTCTTATCTGCACACAAGTGAGGTGGCAGCAGGCTAGGGCCACGTGGCGCTGCTCTAGTGGCCGCCTGCTGCAGTAGCCCCTGTTGACTGTGTTTCTAATGTGGTGGGTAATTCTCCTTCGTTTCTGTGACTTTGTAAAGCAGATGCTGCACCTTCCCTGTGGGATTACTTAAAGACCCAGTGGATCTGTCTCAGCGAGGCAGTCCAGACTTCCCTGTCCACAGCCATGTCTGCCAGCTCCTTCCAAAGTGTTCCTAGGCCACATGGGATGTATATTCTCTCAAGCGTGTCCTGGGTCTTCCTCTGGATCGGCTACCTGTTGGACGAGGAAAAAAAATCAAGCTGCTCACAATCTTAAACATCGGGCTATAGATGTCATGTGATCTGAGCATCACATCTCTCAGCCTACAAGAGGAGGCTGTTGTCTCTTTGGTGGCTCCGAATATTGCTTTTAACTATGAAAACTCTGGAAATTTCAGAGAGTTGAGTTCAAATCACATAAATTCAGTGGTATTTAACATGTCAGCAGCCTCTAAGCCTATTCAGAACGAGGCCGTCCCTTCCACAATCCTGAATTTAAACCAAATGCGTTTACTCTTCCTTCAAGTCCAGTCTAGGCATTAAAGAGAAGCAGCAGCAGTCTGCGCCCTCAGGGTGAGAACAGCAAGAAACCGGGTTTCCTCAGTTTGTACATGGACGGTCCAGCATGAAGAATCAGTCAGATAAATAATGTTCGTTTCCTGTCGGAGGATCCGCAGTGTCTCAGAGTCTCAGAGGATGGCAGCATCACGACAGCCACAGACCGGGCTGGACGTCTGCACCCTGTCGTCTGCAGACAGTGAAGACAAAAATGAATCAAACACGGTGAAAAATCCTAAAAATAAGGCCCCTTAAGAAAGTGAAAAAATTATTTAAAAATGGAACAGAAAGAGGCACTAAAAAGTCACGCTATCAAAAACGCAGTCTGTCCCTGTGGTACGAAAAGCTGGATTTCCTGTGTGTCATCCTACATCATCCTGGAGGATGTTCCTGATGGGAAGTGGCCGAGGTGCTGCTTCTGTCTCCGGCCACGTTTCGTCTTGTTGCACCTCCTGCAGAACACAGCAGGAAGTACATGTCAGGGACACACCGCTGCACACAGCAAGTGATTCATCATCCAATATTCTGGATGTCTGAAACAGTGACCAAACTACAGACTGAAAACAACAAAACTTAAGATGTGCGCTGATGTTGGAGTATTGAACAGCTGATGTGTTGGCAGCTGGATTCTGGATCACTGGCTTTTCACAGGAGGCTGTTTGTCAGAGTGACTGCTCACTGCAGCTGCACACACTGAAACACTAAGCCAGCACCACACCATGTGTTTACTGCAGTTACCAAAACATGTTGCAGTACCAGGTATCTCTAGTACCCACAGTAGTAGTAACAGTATTAGTAGTGAGTACCTGGTGAAGCACATGACCACAGCTACAATGACGGCGATCTGAAAAGCTCCAATGATGGCGGCAATGAGGACGTAGTGCAGCTTCTGCCCACTGGGCACCACGTACAGGATGTTGAAGTCCAGCAGCTGATCACACTGAGGACCTCCGTAGGCCGCCTCACACCTGACACACAGACACACCACACTTAGTTTCATGGGTTCTACAAACCAGGACAATCAGCATCAGACCTGGGGGACATCCAGTTATTTAATTATCCCTTGCTCCTTGCTCGACCCAGAGGTCGTTCCAGTCGCCCATCCTGAAGGATCGGAGGAAAGATGTAAAACTCATTTTCTTGATTCCGCTCTTCTTACATCTTTTCCTCACATCTTACATGGGCAAGACTACGGTGTGAAGAAAAGGCGCAAGTGAGGGAAACATGGATTCAATCAAAAGATTTGGGACAGACGCCACGTTTTCACCAGGATCTGCAGGTGATGTGTCCTCCACACAGACTGGGAACTAAACACCTGACGCAGCCGCTTACGTCCTCCCCCTCAATTCAGAAACCTCCCAGTGGCCCTCACAAACACAGAGGTACAAACGTGCGTTACCTGCAGGTCGGCAGGTTTTGTCTCATCTCACAGTGGCCGTGTTCACAAAACTGGGCGTAGTCTTCAGGACAGTGGTCCACAAACCCCTCCCCGTCACTGGATTTGGGTACCGCTGGGGGAAAAGACAACCTGGTTTCTGATTGGCTGTTTAGAGGAAACAGGGTGACAGAGTCAAAGTGCAGTGAGGGGGTCTTACCGAAGACGTCTGGCTTAGTCTTGCCACTGTCGTCCTTTCTGCTTTTGTCTGAAAACAGAAGAAGAAACAGTGAGACAGAATGTTTTCTGTGAGGTGCAGAAGAGGAGGTTTGTCATCTGTACAGCTGTGAACCACGTGGCTCCTGTGAAATGATCGGTTTCTGTTTTAACATCGAACCTGTAGCTGCGGTTTGCTGTGCTGTTCATACAGCCTCCACTCGCAGGAGGCCGCGTTTACCTTACAATACTTGTTTCAATACACAGTGATGGATGTTTGTTCTTTCTGTAAATTCTGAATAGGATGTTAGAAACTGTGCAGTGGGAGCAACTGGAAACAGAGCCAAGTTAATTTCTATTGGAACCAGATGAAGAATTCCTGCACACCTGGCAGTTTGTTCAAAATTCTGTTGACAGGCATTAAGACTGTCTGACTCGGTAACAGACGCGGTGGACGGGATAAGAAGGTCTACGTGCTGTGTTTTCCTTGCTGAGTACCGCTGTAGGTGTGTCTGTTCAGCACTCGGAGCCAGTTCAACTGCGATGACGTGTTCGGACCTCGTTCCTGCTCTGCTTCGTCTGTGATTCAAACGCCGAGTTAACATGGTGTGACCACGGCTGAGGAGTTGTATTTTTCTAGTTGTATGTAGATCAAGCAGGATCATTCTGGGTTTTAGTTTCCTACATCTGGACTGTGAATAGAAAATGTGTCTGTTCTTATGTTATTTGCCAAACACTTAATTAAAATGTTTCTTTTCCTGTTTTGCCTCCTGCGTCTTCTCCATCTCTCGTTTTCATCTGATTCCTTTCTCACTCTCCTCTGTATTCCTCTCCTCTCTTTTTCCCACCACACCTTCCCTCCATCTGACCCTTTCTACTGGGTTTGTTGACGTTTATTGGTCAAAACAAGTTGCATGCTGTCATCAGGTCACTGCAGCAGTGGTGCAGGTGGAAACTTCTGGTGTTGTGTTTGTTGTTTTGTTGTTACCTTGGCAGCGTCCCACATGTTTGATGTCGATCTTCAGCTGTTTGAGGCAGGATGCCTCTCGGACGTGGCACGGCGTGTCGTAGGTGACGCCATCGCTGCCGCACACTGGGTTGTCATTGTGGCCGTTACACACAATGTTACACATGCAGCTGGACACAAACACACACAAACTAAAGTGACAGGAAATGCATTTCTCTAGTTTTTTTTTTGCTCATCTGTCAAACAACCTAAGACAAACACAAAGGCCCACTGTGAAACATCTGATGAGGAAAACGCTTAGAGGGGAGCAGGACATCGCTCGCTGCAGCTACAGATTTGCACTTTTATTCTTTTTAGAGCATCATTTTTAGCCAGTTCTGTCCAATTGTCCCTGTAGAAAAGCAGCTGAGTTAGCAGCTAGCAGCTCCTGTGTGCACTGTGCCCGTGGATGTACAGGCAGCCATCACTGTGTAATTCTCTGACAGCTTCTGAAGCGTCTTCTTTCTGATTTATCAGCAAATTTATGGACGTTTGTTCTCAGCAGACATCAGACACTGTGGTCAGTCCTGACCTCTGACTCTGGTTCACCCCCCACCTCTGTGTGTGTGTGTGTGTGTGTGTGTGTGTGTGTATACTAACAGCATGTCCTCAGAGTCTTCATCACACTCGGCTCCAAACTTGCAGTTTCCACATTTCGAGGCCTTTTTCCCGCGACCAGATCCCTCGTCATCTGCATGACACACATCGTCACTACATGTCCCCCACATTTATTATTACTACATTGTTTCATTTTATTGACAGTAGTAGTATTTTCTGGGTATCACAATGTTGGAGTAACTGTTTACCTGCATCTCCGGATCCTGACCCGCCGTCTGACACACAAACACAAAGGACAGACAGACGTTCTGATCTGTTAGTTGACAGAGGACGTTTTCCAGTGTGGCCTGTCACTGACCAGATGCACTCAATGCTCAGCAAACACAATAATAAAAGCACTATGTCATCATGTGTCCAAGTCTCAAAGTGTAAACTCTTTACTTTCCCCACACTGACATGAGCAGCTCAGACAGAGCTGGTGTGTGTTACCATGGTAACAGGGTCCCTCTGACACCGTGATGATGGCTCTCTGCTTCTTGCAGGCAGCTCTCCTCAGGAAACACTCATTCTGGTACGTGTCTCCATTGGAGCCACACACAGGGACATACTTCTTATGGCACTGCAACACACACACACACACACACACACACACACACACACACACACACAAGATTATCTCACCATGGCAGCAACAACCTGAGCTGTGTGAAGCTGTGACGTCACACAGACTGACAAACACAGGGAGTCCGGGAGCTCTCTGTGGTGAGGCCCAGATCAGGACCAGGGGATGAAACCACATCTGAAACTCTGAGCCTCCCCAGGAACACCGTGGCTTCAGTAACTGGGCCATGGAGGGAGTCTGGAACCAGCAGGACTCTTCTAGAGTCGGCATCCGACCAGCTGGAGGAACAAGAAGGACCTCGGTCAGGGAGGAGGTCGAAAACCCAGCAGCCCCTCTGACAGAGCTTCAGATGTCCTCTGCAGAAACGAATGCTGCTGGAGGGCGAGCGTCTCAGCAGCTTCTCCATCAGTCAGGCCTTTATGGTAGAGTGGCTACACAGAAGCCGCTGTGAGTGAAAGACAAAGCCTCTGGCCTGAGGAGACGGACACTGAACTACAGCGCCCTGTGGCGACCCATGGGCTCCTCTCATAACTCACTGACACCATCCCTACAAGACTGGCCAGACCTGAGCAGCCAAGAGAGGTCCTAGAGGAAAGCCTGAGACTGGGTCTACGGCTCAGACAGCCGAGTCACCAGCGGAGCGGCCTGAGGACAGTCATGCTCCGCCCTTTGCTGGCGAGCAGCGAATTTCGTAATGAACACTGCAGCCGTGTGTGTGTGTGTGTGTGTGTGTGTGTGAAACTCACATGGAACTGACAGACACACTTGATTTCGGCTCCGGTCTCATGGCAGGTTCCTCCAAAGGGGCACGTCTCGGCATCGCACACTCGCAGGTCGCTCTTCTTCTCCGACACATCTGAAACACACAGGCAGACAGAAACACGTTGGCCTCGGAGGAACTGAGGCAGGCTGCATCTAAATTCCTCCTCAGAGTTACACACACACACACGGTGTGGTTTTCTGAAGACGACACCACAAGACAACTACAAAAGCCTGAGAATCAACAGGGTTCTAAGTTTCCTGTGGAATCATGGTGACCCAGTGACGGCAGCCTGTGCACTCATGGCTGCACTGCAAACAGGAGCATCATTTTCACGGTGCACACTCCCCAGCATGTGAACAATTACAGCCTAAAAACAGGCTCCAGGTGAAGCCTGCAGCTCACTCATGAGGACACTCCACTTCTTGCTTGACAGAAGATTAATAAACACTTCAAATATCTGCTTACAACTATAATTCTTACAAACCATGTAAACGTTTACATATTGTTGGTAAATGCTGAAGAGGATAATTAAAATGAAATGCAAGCTGATCCTGGTATCCTGGTGGGAGGTAGGTGCTGGTTCTGGGGTTTATGTCATAAACCAAACTGAGGCCCTCTGAGGGCATGACCCACTCTGTGACCAAACCAACACACAGACGACACCACGGGAAACGAGGTTACCGCACTGTGAAGCGACTGACAAACACAGAGACTGCTGTAGTGATTTAACGCCGGCAGCCGATTGGTCGGTGGCCCAGCAGGCTAGCCAATCAGAGCTGCTAATTACAGGGAACGTGACCTTAATGTGTCAGTGCAGCTGTTTGATTACAAATAAATTAGAAAATTCATCTCTATAATAGTTTTGTGTATTTGTCCTTATTCAGTAATACCACAGTGCTCGGCCAGATGCCAACATCAGCTAAAGTACCGATGGTCGGTGACTGTAATGTTGACTTGGGTTGTCTTATCTCAACATCCTCCATTAGCTAATTAGCAATAAACACAAAGTACAGCTAGGCCTGATGGGAATGTGACAGGTTGTAATCAAACACCTACAAAACTAAGGTTTAGATGAGAAGTCTGAGGGCATGGGCAGACCCAGGGCCGGCCCTAGGCCACCGTCACCGGCGGGCTCTCTGAAACATCATGTGACGCGGGCAGAGCAGCACTTCTTTCTGAGCCAAGGTGAGATGCTCCACAAAACACTGAGAAACAAATACCAGCTGAACAGTAGTTAACAAATGACTTGATAAATATTACATTTGCACCAGATGTTTCTAGAATTTCACTTCATCAGAAGCAGATGATGTTTACAGGTGAACGCTCTACACCGAGACAGAGCAGCTCCTTCACCAGGTGACGACCTGGCTTCTTGGAGGGTCAACCTGGGTCAGCGATGATGAAACCTGTCTGCAGAACTTCATCTTCCTCTGGAGAACTTTAAAAATCTCCATGAAGCGGTCACAAGTCCTAACGCGCACACCTCCCCCTGACACACAACCCACAGCTTTTCAATAACGCCCAGCTGCCATAGTGACTGACTTCTCATCTGACAGCCACCGGTTGCATCAGCAGCCTGCAGCTTGTTTACACATGCTGACAGGTCTGCAGAGGCCCAGTCACGGAGGCTCTGTGGGGACAAGGAGGGTGTAAAGACAACACAGCACCAAACCTGTGTGCAGCAGTTCGTCAAGTGTGAGCATCATACAGAGAGAACAACAAGAACCAGAAACCAGGGGAACTGAACTGCTCCTCATTCCAGTGTCTGTGCTAAGCTAACTCCAGCTCTGTAGCTAGCACACATCAAAAACAGGATGCTGAACTGTTACTTTAAGTGTCTTATCAGAAGCAGTGAAGTGAAAGTGAAGCTAGTCTGAGTCCAGTCAGTGTTTCCATCCTGAGGCTCAGTGAAGCGATGACCAGCCTTCAGCCTCTCGCGCTTCAATGGCTTCATCAGAATCCGTCTCATCTGTCTCTTTTCTAAACTGACTGTCGTTACCACACTTGGCCAGAAATATGTGGACAGCTAATATGTAACAGTGGCACCATGTTCACCGGTCTGGACAGAAACACACCGTTTACAGTGACTGTGCCAAAAACTATGGTGAATCTTTTAATGGCAATAATTCACTCTTCCTGGGCATTGATGGGTAAAAACCCACTGGGCCCAGACATACAGTATAAAAGCCTTGGCCTGACCGCTGTTTGTCTCTACCTGGAGTGACATGGATGTGAGGTGTTGGCTGTAGGTGTCTGCTTATTCAGGTTCTCTGTAACTGCAGCATAAGTAATATGTTCGACTTTCAGTTCTGCTGGATGGGACTCAGGCCAGAGCTCCGAGCAGTCAGAGAAGGCCATTTCTGTTTGGAGCTGGCTGTGTGCACGGAGGCACTGTGTAGAGAACGGCGGTTGTCCCCACACTGGTACACCACTGTCAGAGTTGGAGATATATCAGGCTGTGAATACGCACAGCGTGTTAGTCAGAGACATTGGTCTGTTGGCAGTATGAGACATGTAGGACATCGGCAGACCTGGCCTTCAAAGTGAACGTCGCTCCAACGTGATGTAGCCGAGAACATACAGACATTTAGGCTGAACAAACACACACACAGGCAACTCCCTGCTTCTCCACCCTGTCATTAACCCTAAAATAGAGCCTGGTTCAAGTGAGGAGTGGTCAGAGCGTACACACAGTTCAGTGGTGGCTGCTTCTAATCACTGCTCAGCTGTTGACTGGCTTCAGGATCCTGTCGTCATGACGACTGCACTCTTTGGATAGAGGGTTGTCAGTGAACACCAGAAAGTTTTAACCTGCTGTGGTTGACATGACGAGAGAAACGATGGCAGCACCTGGATCATGTGACCAGCTACACTGAAACAAGAGGAGATAATGAGTGTGACCTCTGACCTCCAGCAGCTACACACACAAAGCAGACTGACCGACGTGAGCTCAGCTGTGATGTGTCCAGGTGTGACCAGGAGGGGAGAGTCTCACCTGTGCAGTCGACAACCGTCCCGGGGTCACAGTCTGCACTGCTGCTGCCTCCACTGCGGGTGAACGAGGTCCGGACGGTGGGCAGAACCAGCAGAACCAGCAGGCCCAGCAGGCAGGAGAGCCGGTGTGCTGGAGCCATGATGGAGGGCGAAGCGGGATCTGGTGATAGGTGGAGGACGGATCCAGGCAGAGACGGGGAGGTGAGCAGTCTGAGAAACAGATGGAGGTCCAGAAGAGCAACAGAGATGGGGGAGGCTGCAGATAGAGAAGATGGGGAGAAGGAAGAGTTGAAAGAAAAGGTGAAAAAAGAACAATGTGAAATCAGTTTTTTCCTGGAGTTCTCCTTCAAAGAGTCCTCGGCACAAAACACACCTCAAGAAGAGAGGAAGAAATCACGCTGCCCAAAAACCTCTTTAAATCCTTCCTCCCTCCAAAACCTCCATCATTCTCTCAGGATAAAGGCAAACATGAGAAACAGGCTGGAAAACGACGCGAAAGCCGGGAGGAGACTTGCTCGATGAATCCCAGGACAACAAAGCGAAGCAGGGCCTGGGGCTTCACGCACCGACCCCCCACTCCTCCTAAAACCAATCTGTTCACAGCCCGGACTGAGCCTCCATCCCCCGCCCGCTGCCTCGCACTCAGACCGGCGAGCAGAGCCGCGGAGTGCCACGGACACAGAGATCCAGGTGACGATCCGAAAGGGCTTCCAGCAGCATCCAGGCCCAAGGCAGCCAGTGTGCGCCGGACAGATACGGTCGGACCGGGACGGCTTTTATCCCCCTGCTCTTTCTCCACTGACTCAAGCACATCAACAAAGGCCCGGACCACGTGACCCGCAGGAGACCACTCCTCCAGTCGGGGGGGGGGGGGCACACGCCCCTGCATACATTTCCCAGCATGCTCCGCCACCGCAGGAGGCTCGACTGTCTCCACCTCATCCACTGTCCAAACATTACACTAGTGGAGAAGTGCGGGATAGCTGAGGAAACTGTAGAGGAGACCAGAGCTGTGTCCGCTGCGTTAGTCTGCAGGTCTGAAACCGAATAAAGTCACTGTCACACAGGCGGCTTCTGTTGTCTTCATCCCCGTGCTTCACCCAGGGAAAGATGGATAGGAGGAGTGGGGAGACTGATTGACAGAAAATTAATTAGGCTGCTTTGTTGAGTAATTAACCCATTTTGTAAACAAAAAAGCCAAGAACACCTCTCTCTGGTTTCAGCTTCTCATAGGTTGATGTGAGCTGGTTTTCTTAGACTTTCATGATAAACAGTGACAAACTTCTTTCAATTTTGTTGATCATCACAAAAAGGCTTTTGGATCACAGTCTATTAGTTAAGAAAATAACTGGCATATTAACTGATGATGAACCTAATTAGTTGCTGCCCTATAACAGATGACAAGCTTAGGCTCAGAGTAGAAACATGACTCTGTGCTTATGCCCTGGCGCCCCCTAGTGCGTCTGTTGATTACGTGGTGTGTAACTAAAAACATTCTCACACGACCTCTAGTGACATGTCCTAACATTAAACATAAGAAAATATTATGGCTATGGCTACAGTTATACACGTCATAATAATAATATTAAACATCCTGTCTGCTGACAGTCATCCACTTTTTCTATCTAGTTATCCTTGACCATAAGCACCCTGCAGTAACTCATGAAAATGACTAAGTTAGACACCCTGTCTACTCTAAACATTTCTAATACATCAAGTCTCTAACCAATATCTATCTGACTAAAAATACTAACAATAGTAATGGCTATTAGGCTCTGTGGCTTTACAGTTGGCTTGAGTTTTTATTTATTTTATTTCATTTTGGGATAGTCATTTCCTTTGCTATAAAACTTTATAAATAATAACAATTCAAGACACAATCTCTATTATTAAATAACTGCATATAGATTAAAAACAACACTCAGATTTATGCATGAATTTATACATTTCTATTTTCTACACTGCAGGATTAGCTGATGTTTATTCAGAAGTTTATATTTGTTATACAAAGAATAAAAAAATGAAAGTAAGAAGAAAAGAAAGAAAGATTTTCCCTGATGAAGTTTAAAGCACTAACCAACTCTATTAAAATATTCAGTGTTATGGAAAAGAACCATATTGACAGATATTCACAAAATTATAGTCTGTAGGAAATAAAAATATGAGACCAAAATCAAGCTCTTTGGCATCAATTCAACTCACCGTGTTTGGAGGAGGAGGAATGCTGCCAATGACTCCAAAAACAACATCCCCACCATCAAATATGGAGGTGGAAACATTATGCTTTGGAGGTGTTTTTCTGCCAAGGGGACAGGACAATTGCACTGCATCAAAGGGAGGATGGATAGGGCCATGTACCGTCAAATCTTGGGTGAGAACCTCCTTCCCGAACATGGAAACTATTCCACGAAGAGGGAGCGGCAAATCCAAAAGCCCGTTTCCCTTTTTCGGTCCGAACTCTCGGCACCATGAGCTGATACTTACCACAAGACCGTAAGGCATATTTGGTATCCGATCTACGTAAAAGAGAGCATAAGTATGCCGGGGCTAGGCCTACCAAAGCCTTGTACACTAGCACCATCCAATGAACATGTCTTCGCGTGCTCAGAGACGACCACTGTGCTTTAACATACAGGTCGCAATGGTGCGTTAGTCGACTACAACCCGTCACAAACCTCAAGGCACTGTGGTAAACCACATTTAAAGAATGGAGACATCTAGCTGAGGCATTCATATACAGTACATCACCATAATCCAACAGGGGAAGAAAGGTCGCTGATATTAAATATTTGCGTGCCTGCAAGGAAAAGCAGGATTTATTACGATAAAAGAATCCAATCTTCATCCGTAATTTTCGAACCACATTAGCAATGTGGGTTTTAAAAGACAACTCAGAATCAAGTAAAAAACCTAAGTACTTATAGCTGGAAACCAGCTCAATCAACACTCCCTGATCTGTTGTTATTGACAGATTAGCTGATGTTTATTCAGAAGTTTATATTTGTTATACAAAGAATAAAAAAATGAAAGTAAGAAGAAAAGAAAGAAAGATTTTCCCTGATGAAGTTTAAAGCACTAACCAACTCTATTAAAATATTCAGTGTTATGGAAAAGAACCATATTGACAGATATTCACAAAATTATAGTCTGTAGGAAATAAAAATATGAGACCAAAATCAAGCTCTTTGGCATCAATTCAACTCACCGTGTTTGGAGGAGGAGGAATGCTGCCAATGACTCCAAAAACAACATCCCCACCATCAAATATGGAGGTGGAAACATTATGCTTTGGAGGTGTTTTTCTGCCAAGGGGACAGGACAATTGCACTGCATCAAAGGGAGGATGGATAGGGCCATGTACCGTCAAATCTTGGGTGAGAACCTCCTTCCCTCATTCAGGGTATTGAAAATGGGTTGTGGTTGGGTATTCCAGCATGACAATGATCCAAAACACACGGCCAAAGCAACAAAGGATTGGCTCAAGAAGAAGCATATTAAGGTCATGGAGTGGCCTAGTCAGTCTCCAGACCTTAATCCCATA